GGATTTATAGTGTGTGTGTGTGTGTGTGTGTGTGTGTGTGTGTGTGTGTGTGTGTGTGTGTGTGTGTGTGTGTGTGTGTGTGTGTGTAGTACCCCCAGTACCTACAGTTTTCAGAAACTCAGTTTTTTTTTACCATTGCTACACATTTGTTTAAACAACTTAATCGTAGCCATGCGGGCGATAACATTTTTGGGTGTAAAAAGTACAAAAATACTAAAGCGCTGTAAAATTTAAAACAAAAATTCAGTTTTCTCCAAATTTCAGTTGTGTTGACTTACCCCCCAGACTTCTCTTGAGTACCCCTAAGGGTACTTGGACCACTGGTTGAGAATCATTGATCTAGACGAGGCTTGGTGCTGCCGTGAGGGCAGGGGTCTGGCCTTGATGACCTCTTAAGCTCCCTTCCACTTCTAGTGTTCTGTGATTCTATAAATCCACATACTAAAGCTCCATATGATTTTTGCAGTCCAAGGGAAAGGCTGGAAACGGCTCCGAAGTAGTGTGGGTTAAGTGGCAAGCTTTGGAAGATAATTGCAGAGAGATCTGTTCACTGCAGGAGTTTGTTGGGTGCCTTTGCCAGGATGGGAAAGAAATCCACAGCTGTGACTCAGGAGGAGACTTAGGAAGGAGAAATCCCTGAATGGCTTCAAAGTGCCTTTCTGTGTTCAGAACTGGTCCGTAGACCCGTAGAACACGGGCAACGCTGGGCCGGTCTCTCCACAAGAATTCCCATTCGCTCCCCTTGTTTGTGATTTCTCAGGAGGAGTCAGTCCCGGAACGGCGAGGGGAGGCTCACGGAAGGTTTAAGACCCAGGCGTTAACTTTCAGCCGTGGTGCTCGGTGACCCTGGTGCCCAACACCTCTGAAAAGTTGTTACTCTTCAGAACCCAGGGCTGGGCAGAATGTGAGAGGTGCTGAAGTGGGTGTACCTAGGTGAGGGGGGCGGAGGGTTTCATAAAAATACACTCGATTGACCCGGTGTTCCTCAGGCCCTTCACTCAATTCATATTTGTTTTTTGGAAAATAAAATGAAACTGTCCAGGCTTCACTTGGATCACTGCTCTGGGCTGGGGCTGGGGAGAAGGGGTTCAGGATGCAGGCTGCCCCGGGGAGAGAGGACAACCCCAGCCCTCTCTCGCCACGGCAGCTGGGGGCCTGGTGAAAAGCCCCTCTCCATGGCTGCTACAGCAAGCACAGCTGAGGGAGGGGGTGTATGTCTCCTGACTGGGGGGCAGAAAGCTCGCTCCCTGACAAAGAGGAACAGCCGGCAATGTCGCCATATGAAGCGGGGGAGGGATTGCTTCTCCGGCGCTCCCTGAAGGACGCCTTGCGGCTGGGGCAATCATTTCACTTGCCTGGCGATTCTGTCTCTCTTCTGTGTGGTTTATGAGACCCAATCCCGTTCCAGGCATAGCTCATTGTCCTGGCACAACCATCCCCTGACTTGGCTTTACGTTACAATAAGAGGAAGCTACGTACTGAATTTGGTGGGCCTAGCTCTTTCTGGTTGGGAGTTCTTGAACTGACAGAGAAACTCTCAGATACCTAGTAGATCAAATAAAATGTAGCATTGTGGGTCTTAGGGATGTTAGGAAGCATGTAATCCGGTAACCGTGTAATCCGGTAACCGTGTAATCCGGTAACCGTGTAGCCGACAAAAATGTTTGTTGGTTACGTGAGCAACTGCTGTGGCTCTGCATTGAAAGGAGCTTGAGGAACAGCGCACAGTCAAGCAGGCTCCCAAAATATTTTACATGCAGAGCCGCAGTTGGGGTAGCTGCCGGGAGCCGGGACTGAGCCAGTGTGCCGGCTCTGAAGCTCTTTTCCGTGCAGAGCCACAGGGGGAAGAGGGGTTTGCGTGTAGCCGGCAGCGTTAACCAATAAACATCCTCTTATTAGTTCATCGTTTAACAGTTACCTCCCTCGTGGAAATAGATGAACCAGCAACGTGCAGGACACAGTTATGTGTGTGATGGAAAGTTTACCTGCATGTGTGCGAGTGTATTATGTAATCTGTGCGTGCATGTGTAAAACATTTGTGTGCCTGTGCATATGTATGCTCTGGAACAGGCATGTAAAATCTCCTTTAAAATGTTAACCGGTAAACTGTATGTTTGACTGGTCACTGGCCTTGCTGCTAAGAGGCCTGATGTGAAGACAGAAGAGCTGACGTGCTAAATAGGAACCCAACGAGTTTGGTAAAACTGGAGCCGGGCAAGTAGGGTCCTTGGCGCTGCTTCGCAGTGTGTGGCTGGCGAGTAATTCCTACAAGGCGTTTTGGTCTCTAATACGCTCCTGTCCTGAGAAGAGGACGGACCTGCCGGCGTGTAATGCAACACTTTGTAGGTTACACTCCGGTTCCACTGCTACACAGCCATGGGGGAGCGAGGGCGGGGGATTAGCATATTATCCCTGTCTAATTGGCATCGCTTAAACTTGCCGGAAGGTGGCCCGTCCCAAGACAGCCGGGATCACTCGCTTGACCAGGTTGGGTTCGATCTCCTGCTCTCAGCTTGTTTTTTTGAGATCCCCGGTGTCGAGGCCAAGTCGTCCCTGTACGGTCATGTATCCATTCGGCCCATGTGGCAGGCCAAGTAGCCGGAAATCAATCTGCCAGCCCTGGTGTAAATCAGACAGGAGTGTTAACAGTTTGCGTTCCTCTGGGGGTCTCTTGCTTAGCCGCGACTCCTGCGTTCCTCTTGTGGTTGGCAGGGGCAGCGAGGGGTTTGTTGCAGCCGATGTTTCCCCTCCTGGCAGATGCAGGCAGAGGAGTGGCACTTGTTGCTCGTTAAATGTTACTGGTCCTTTTCCTGGGGTTCCCAGCCGGTGTGTGCCCTGAATCCTGCTCCTCAGAGGGTCACTGTGCCAGTGCGTCAGCGTCTCTAACACCCTCCTCGCTGCTCCCTTGGTGCGTGGCACTTCCAGGCCTCAGCTGCCCATCGCGTGTACCTCTTTTTCGTGTCGGCGTTCTGCCCCAGCAAGCTTTTTGTGCAGTGGGAATGGTGTTAAATGATCCCTGATACTCAGCCGAACGGAAAAGAGCTCTAGTTTCTCTCCAGCAAGGGTTCTCCATCACCTGGCCATCAGAAATATTGTAGCCTGGATGCCTGTTGCGATCTCATCTCCGGTATTTCTTTGGTAAAGAGCTCTAGTTTCTCTCCAGCAAGGCGTTCTCCATCACCTGGACATCAGAAATATTGTAGCCTTGATGCCTGTTGCGATCTCATCTCGGGTATTTCTTTGACCCCCTTTGCCTCAGTGTCTTAGTTCACTAACACTTGGGCTACGTCTCGACTGCACCTCTCTTGCGCAAAATTTATGCAAAGGAAGCACGGATGCTTGCCACGCTTCATTTGCATAATTCATTGGGGGCCACTTTTGCGCACGAGGCTTTTGCGCAAAAAGGAGCTGTGTAGACGGTTCCTTTTTGCGCAAAACCCCCCTCGGCTCTTGCGCAAGAGGGGGGTTTTGTAAAAAGGAGCCGTTTACACAGCTCCTTTTTGTGCAAAAGCCTCGTGCACAAAAGTGGCCCCTAATTAATGATGCATCAGAGGCAGCTGCGCAGGGTGCCAGGCGGGAGCTGCTCCGGGAGGGGAGCCAGTTTCAAAAGCAGCTCCCCTCACAGACCAGCTGCCTGTTGCTCCGTGTTGCTGCCTCCGATACAGAGGCAGCAGCGCAGGATGGCAGCAGCCTCTGTCCGAGGTGGGGCTGAGCTCCCGGACCTGGCGTGAGCCGCAACTGAGCTAGGCTGCTGACCAGCCTGCTAACAAATTTACTGGCGGGAGTGAGGGACCGGGGGGAGGGGGAGAATGTGGGCAGTCTGTAGCATTAACCGATAAGCTTTTGCTTATCTGTTAATCAGTTAATCGACTCCGCTGGTACATCCCTAACACAGATGCTTTGGCCTGAGATGTGTGCTTCTGAGGATGCTCTGGTTGCTGTGAGGGGCCCTGCCTGTGCATGGAAATCTCAGCACGGGGGCTGAATGTAGCCAGTCACCATGAAGTCACAGACCGTACACGCTTTGTATTCCTAGGGAACGGGGGTTGCTGGTTCATCAGACGTGCTGGTTTTTCGAGCTTTACGCCACTGGCTTGTGAATTTTTCACTGTACGCTAGCCACAGTGGCAGGATGGGTTAGATCCTGTCCAGGAGTGATTTTATACGCAAAAGCACAACACGAGCAAACTTTACTGCTGCAAGTTTACAGACTGGACTCCCGCAAGTGCTGGGAAATGTCGCCTAACGAGGCCGCATGGCTATCGGAATTTTGTCCGGTTAACTGAAGGAGAAATTGTATTGGCATCTCCGACAGATGCCGGTTAACTGACTTTTCCGGCTATTAAAGTGCCAGAGAACTTGTCCTGTAGATAGTTTTGTGCACTTACCAAAGGTCTGTCTGGCCTCCTGCAAGCTATGGGGACTTGACTCCCACAATTCCCAGAGAAGGGTATTGCTATCCCATAATGCCGAGCAGCAATGTCCCGCAAGGCACTGCAGGCAGCGGTGGTGTGGGAGACACCGGGCTGCCTACCCACGGTGCAATGCACCTTTTGCTGATCCAGTCTCTTCCGGGGAGGAGGCGTGGCACTAGCAAAAGCCAATAACGAGGGTAGCCGTCTGCCAGCAAAAAGGCTGCGGGTGCAGGTACCGACAGGGTCAGCATGAGGTGGCGTAACAATGCATTGAGGGAGGGTGGTTCTCCTGGGGTCTCAGACCGGTTCCGTGTTGGGTGGTTGCTTTCTCCCTAGTGCGCTGTTGCAAAGGGAATTAAATCCCCGCACTTGGAGCTGGGAGCTTCCCAGGTATAGAGCCAGGACTGCAGTGTTAGTGCATCCCACGGAGTTAATAATTCACACGCCGGGCAGGGTTCTGTCTCAAGATGGGCAAGTCGTCCAAGGGAGAGAAGGGTGATTTGATTGTCATCCTTTGGAGTCTTGATCTCCATATTTGGAAATGTTTACCCATCGCACTGGGCTATTGGAAGGGGAGGGGAGGTGACTCAGGGTTTGGTGGAAGCAGGGTTTGAATTCCTGTAGTAAGTATTTTTTTTCCCCTTTTCTCCTTGTTTTGGAAGCCTGTTGTCGTCCGTGTGCAGCTCTCTCGCTCCCGGGTCTTGATCCTCATGCCATCTGCCTTGGTGGAGAGCGTCTGAGCGAAGGAGATCGTTTGCTCTCTCGTAAGTACAGGGGTATTTCAGAAGCAAGGGAGTTGGTTTTTGGTTTAGTCAGATGGATTGTTGCGGTGGGGGGGGGTGAATGTGACGCACGTTATGTCCTCTAACCTGGTCTGTTGCACCCCAGTCAAGCAGAAAGAGACCTCCCGTAGCAGTGAGAATTACCTGGCGGATCCAACTCAAAATCAGACCTATGCTCTGTCATTACCTGAGGGCCTAATGCTTTGCGGTAGATGAAACAATCCGTTTTGCAGGCTCCACCTCCGTCCTTTGGTTAATGCAGAAGGACAGTCGAGTGAAATAAGTATACGCCTTGAGTAGCATTCTGAAGGGAAACCACAGCTTATATGCCAGTTTGGTCTCATACCCAACTGTGTGTATTAATGGGATCAATATAACCGGCAGGTATATTTGCTGCAAAAGTTAATATTTAACTCCATGTCGTTGTGCGGCAGGGAAAAGTTTAACCATTTTAACAAGCTGGGGTTTTTTTTCCCCTCCCAAGTTTTCAGCGTATAATTTTTCCTGTTCGTTCGCGTTTTAGTACGAGTATAGAATCTGTCGGATACAGCAGCTGTCTAATATTCACCCAACCCTCCTTTTCCTGAAAGGAAACTGCAGTCCATCAAGAAAGTTAACACTAAAAAAACCGTGGCGCTTTCTGTTTCCTGTTTTATTCGTGGCGATTAAAGCCATGCCCAAGAGTTTGGAATTTGTCCCTGGAGTCCGATTGTCATTTGCATTCACTGATCTGCGGCATGTGCAGTGAAATTTCTTTCTGTCCAGAGACGAGAGGGGGAGGGTTTTAACGGGGATTCTGGACGGGTTGACTGCTAGCGAGTCCTGTGCTTCTCATGGAGAAAAGGGTCATTGGGGAGGGGTGTAAATGCAATGAGCTTTAAGTCATTGGTTGGAGTTATTGGTATCTATATTGTCTTTTCAGTTAGTAATGTATAGATCAGCTTGGGTCTGTTTTCATGATTCCATTTGACAGCATAGCGATAGAATGTAGATTTAAAAAATCATTATCCCCCTCCCCCATTTATTTATAATTAAGGGAAGTGTTTGCATTGGCACTAACTCAGTTGTGCAAGTGACTTGATCGTTCTTGGCCTCGAACGGGCATCTCTCTTCACTTGTGTCAAGAGCATGGTATGAATTGAAGTCACGGGTAAGCAAGCCAAAGGACTTGCTGGACACAGTCTTGCAGACTTGGAGTGCATTTGGAGTTGGCCAGTCTCGGTCGCATGGAAACCGGCGTTGATTTTCAATGTAGCTCTTCCAGGCCTCAGCTGAAATGAGTGCCCCATTGTGCCACATGCTATGCCAGCCAAAGAGTGTACAGCTCCTCAATCACAGTCCAAAACCTTAACCAAACGACTGTCCTTCCTTTACTATATGCCTTTATTTAAACAGGCTTTCCACATGTGAGGCCAACGTCCCGGTGCCCACAGTGGCTAAAGCATGGGGAGGTCCAGCTCTGCACCCCCAAAAGGGGCGGGGCCCAGTCAGCCTGGCTGGCTGGTGTTGAAAAAGTGAATAAGGAGAAGTGATTTACTTATTCCCACAATATAAGAACTAGGGGGTCACCCAATGAAATGAATAGGCAGCAGGTTTAGAACAAACGAAAGGAAGTTTTTCTTCATTCGTCACACAGTCAACCTGTGGAACTCCTTGCCAGAGGATGTGGTGAAGGCTAGGACTTTTAACAGGGTTCAAAAAAGAGCTGGAGAAATTCATGGAGGTTTCAGATTTAGCTAGACAGATTCATGGAGGTTAGGTCCATCAATGGCTATTAGTCAGGATGGGTAGGAATGGTGTCCCTAGCCTCTGTTTGTCTGGAAATGGGTTACAGGAGAGGGATTATGTGAGGATTACTGGTTGCATCCCTCCCTCTGAGGCATCTGGCATTGGCCACTGTAGGCAGACAGGACACTGGGCTAGATAGACCTTTGGTCTGACCCAGTGTGGCCGTTCTCATGTTCTTATAAAACAAAAGACAGGACTATGCAGCACTTTAAAGACTAACAAGATGGTTTATTAGGTGATGAGCTTTCGTGGGCTGGACCCACTTCCTCAGATCCAATAGTGGAAGAAAATTGGCACGAAAATTTCCAATTGTGGAAGAAAATTGGCATGAAAATTGGCAAGATGTTCTTATGTTTGTCTTCTGTGGAGTGGAGGGAATTGGCTTGTACCCCATGCTTGGGCTCCAGGCTGCAGCCTGGCGGAGTGATACTAGAACAGCCGCCGGGGACTCACAGCCACGTCCTGTGCTCAATTCAGGGTGTTTCTGTAGTTTACCCTGCACAGTAATAACTTGGATGCTTCAGGCAGAATACAGATGCACTAATCTGTGCTGACTGGGGTCTCTTCAAAACAGACCTTGTTGAGGTGAGGGGGAAACCCCCCAGCTACCCAGGCGAGGGGTGCGTTACGATATGAAAGGGATGGAGAATCTATCAACTAGCAGAGGATGGGGGGCGGGGTTACCGTCCTGTATTGTGCATTTCTAGTTCTGCCTCGCACTTCTGTAACTGAAGATGTCAGCCTGTCTGACAATTATTGAGTTCAACCAGTAAGCTCCTGGATGTACACCTGTGGAGTCTGATGGTTGTGACATAGCCAAGACAGGATGGGAAATTTGGAAATCAAACACCAGTGTCCTGATTCCCATGACTCAATCCGCTCCCATCTGTTAAGCTCCTTCTGATCCAGGAGTTTTGCAATCTTAGACTGAAAAGTGCTATTCCCTATCTAGTATTATTTACTGGTAAAATTACACCCTGCTGAAAACTAATACGGTGATTACTCAAGGCAAACTGAAATCAGCGAGTATTTAATACCACTGATGCTTGTCCTCAGTATATGGGGTGATCCCAATAACATCTTGTTATGGCAGGAATTACCAGGTAGTGATGATGCTTTGTCTTTTTTTCTTAGCCAGTGTAGTCTTTGAAGAAATGCTGCATTGGTGTTGGCTTTGTGATGCTGGTTCTTTGGGGGAAGACGTGGCTAGCAGCTGGAGAGTCGGCTGTCTGCCTTCATCTCTCCAATAGAGTCTATTCCTGGGGCAAAATTGCTTTCCTGGGAACCAAGTGTTGGTGTTTGGGATAAGACTCAGCGAGGTTGCTCTGTTAGAACCATGTCACGCTAGAACTGGAAGGGACCCTGAGAGGTCATCAAGTCTGGTCCCCTGCCCTCACGGCAGGACCAATCACCATCTAGATCCTCCCTGACAGGTGTCTGTCCAACCTGCTCTTAAATATCTCCAGAGATGGAGTTTTCACAACCTCCCTAGTCAATTTATTCCAGTGTTTAACCACCCTGGCAGGTAGGAACTTTTTCCTACTGTCCAACCTAAACCTCCCTTGCTGCAGTTTAAGCCCATTGCTTCTTGTCCTATCCTCAGAGGCCAAAGAGAACCATTTTTCTCTCTCTTCCTCGTAACACCCTTTTAGCTACTTGAAAGCAGCTCTCATGTCCCCTCTCAGTCTTTTCCTTTCCAAACTAAACAAGCCCAGTTCTTTCAGTCTTCCCTCCGATATCCCACAGACCAGCAGAGCTGTCCGTAGAGTTTTTGTTCTTCAGATAAATCTCTTGTCCGTGTGGACAATTAAAAAAAAAAAAGAATTGGTTATAATTTTTGAAATAAAAACCAGAAAAGATTATTCTTTTTTAACAACTCTGACGACCAGGACCAACTCATAGTCAGTGGGATCGTCGTTAGTAAAAGGCGATTTCATGGGAAATGTGTAGGCGCGCCAGTTAAAATGGGAGGAATTGTGTGTGGTACCAGCGGCGAAGCTGTCCATCAACAGTCACAAATTATGTACTAACAGGATGCTTTCCACCTGGGCGGAATTTACAAATCTCACAAGCTTGCCACACCCCTAAAAGACAGGAATGTATTTATCAGCCCTAATGTACCAATGAACATTGCAGATGGTGTGATTAAGTGATATGCCTGAGGTCACATGGGGAGTCTGTGTCAGAGCCAGGAATAGACCCTAGATCAGGGATGGGCAACCATGAATAGTGGGTGGACCGCATGAGTGGCCTTCCTTCAGCTACGTGGGTTGCAGCAGCCCATGGCTTGCTGGCGTTCCATCTGTAGCCCCGTGGTGCCCCGGCTGCCCCTTCTCCCACGTGTGCACTGGGGCACCGGACCCCTGCACTCCCCTACTCCTCCGCCTCCCTCCCCGCACTTTTGGAGGAGCCGTGAATCACCTGATTCACGCTCTGTCCCAGCTCCTCCCCCTCCCTCCCAGAGCCGGAATGCCGCAAACAGCTGATTCACGACATTCCAGCTCTGGGAGGGAGGGGGAAGAGCCAGGACTGGACAAGGATCAAGTGATTCATGGCGGAGGAGTCGGGAAGTCAGGGGTGCGATGCCCCACTGCGCCAGAGGACAGCCAGGGGGTCCACGGCCACTGCCCCTCAGTGCTGAAGTGGAGCCACAAGACTATTGTGCATCTGCGGGGCAGCGTAAGGTGGTATTTTTACCAGCAAAGTGACTTGCTAACAACAAAAGACCAAGCGTTTCGAAAGACCCAGTGACTTGAGGCTTTGCTGCAGCACTCTACTAATAGGCAGGCGGGTGCTTTTCTCAGGAGGCAATTAGTGTGCCGCACATTGGTGCGTTTCGGACGTCACCCCCCTCTGGGGCACATTGCTGCTCTGTAGAGACACGCCTCTTGAGGGCTGATGATTGTCCGAAAATGTCGAGGCTGACGTCAGGTGTCCCAAGTGGGACGCCGCAAAAAGGAAGCCTCCTGAATCGCGTGTCCCTTTTGAAAATCCAAGCCCCAAAGCTCTGCTGCTGGAAAGAGCCGCATTTTAGTGTCGTGCCATTTTTTTCTCCTCTCTTCAGCTGGGAAATCTTGCCCAGGACACAATGACACGCATGGCAATGCTGCAGAGTAACTCACACATCCCAGAACTGTGTGTCATGGAGCCACAGACTCACAGAACACTAGAACGGGAAGGGACCTCGCGAGCTC